CCCCAAAACCCCAAAACCCCAAAACCCCTGAGAAAGAGTTTAAGATTGAATAAAAAATCTAAAGCATCTTTGCGTCTTGTTCACTCAACCCATTCTCGTCCTTTGACTCCTCATTAATTTTGTAAAGATTTTTTCTCTGATCTATCATGCTTGGCTGATGTGGTAATAGGCCTTTTTGGTAAAGACTTTTATAGTTAAATAGCTGAATTCCTTGTATATCACTATTAATAGCCTCAGGTTCCTTCTTCAATAAGCTAGAAGAAGATTTATTCAAGTCGGGGTTATCCTCATTCTTTGGAGTAGAGTAATCCTTATCTTTAAACAATAGGTATTTAACCTGAGTTTCCAAAGTCTTGATCCTGAACAGAATATCGATACAATCTCTTTGGTCTTCGAAACTTTCTAAAATTACAGAGTCTCTCTCTTTTACTTTTATAAAATTCTTAGGCATTTTATTATCACCATATGAGAAGTTCTGAACCTTTTGCTCAATTTTTTCTTGCTTCAGAAGATCATTTAAATTTCTTTGTTCTTTCTGTTTTAAATACTTTAAGAAGCTGGGCTCTTGCTCCTTCTCATCTTCCCCTCCTTCATTGTCATCCTGGTCTTGGATCTCTTCTCTCAGGTTTGAGTGGTGATTCATAGAGCTTCTTTGTTCCTTTTCAGAGGATTCTTTAGATAATATTTTAGCTTTAATCTCATCAAGCTCTCTTCTAGTGCTTTCTAGCTGCTTCATGCTCTTGTGGATCTCCTTAAGCAATGACTTTTTAGAGAAATAGTTGTAAAAGAGGCCTAAAAGTAGAGCAAATGAAACCTCAAATATCTCGAAAATTCCTCCTAAAATGCCTGTGAGCTCAAGAAAAGTGAAAATTTTTCTCCTGTATTGGAATATATCAGGACTGACCTGTATCTGGACCCAATAAGCACTCCTCGCTACAGTATCAGTGTCCATATAAAAAGTCTGAAACTTCTCAATCTTTTCTTTCTCACAAACTTTGTTAAACTTTATAGGGTCCGGTTCTGAGACAGTAAGCCACCACGAGTCTTCTAGAATTAGCTCGTGCTTCTCAATATTAATATGAGGATACATTTTCACTTTTGGATGCAAATCAGTCGTATCTAACCTGTCAACATATTCTTTTATTGGAGAATCGATATCATTCAAGTCGACATATTTGCTAGTTGCAAATAGCTCCACCCTTAGTCCACTTAACACATCATTGAGCAATGCAGGGCTCTGTCATATATAATTCAGATGATCAAATCAAACTTCCATAAACGCAGTGACTCCTTTGTAATCAAAATTAGTGGTACTAACCCCTGATATCTGTTTGCCTTGAAGGCTAAAACACCAATGCTTAACAATAGAGAAGTGGTGGTCATATTTAGTCAGTTCGGGACTACACTCTTTAAACTTTAGAGGCAGCTGCTCGGCTGTATTATTCTCTTGGAGGTAGTAGAATAGTTGGAGGGTCAGGATTTCAGCGATGTCGTGAGTAGGAATGTAACTAATAAACCATTAAGGTATACTTTTAGTAAGTTGAAAAAATTTTGACAAAAGATTTAAAACCCAAAGCTGTTAATGATAAAAGATGGCTAAAAAATATTTTACTTGACAAAGATTACTTACGCTGGCACATTCCACTTATGAACAACTATCTTGAATTCTATCTTATCGAATTCAGTGATATCAATAGCATTTGGATCTGTTCTTAGGTTAGTTCGAATAATATTCCTGTTGAGCTGAACATCTACTTTTTGCATCAGTCGTGCAAAGAGAATTACACCGTAAACGATTATCAGTCCTGTTACAATAAAAGTGGCTAGCCCTCCAAAAAAGTCGATCCAGCGAGTTTTAATTTTGGCTTCAAAGGTAACAGACTGGCTGAATCTATTAAAATTTGAAACTTTTCTTCCAATATATTTGAAAACCTTCTTCATCTTAATGTTAGTTTATTATATAAAATATTTTTTTACTTAAGTTTCCTTTCAGACATGTGTTCGTACAAAGGGGTTTTGGGGTTTTGGGGTTTTGGGG